CACCAGGCTATTGAACCTCCTATGCTGTGCTGACGGTCAGAGAGGCAACGGGTCTCTAACAGAAGAGACTGAAAATAGCCTACGTTACCTGCATAGCACACACTATAGACCACAGAACTTCACCCAGAGTCCTAAGACCTGCAGCGAAAAAAAAAACCAAAAACAAAAAACCCACAACACATGACAAAGCACCACCAACAAACCAGCTTTCACCAACAGAAATGCAGAACAGTGTTCCTGTAAACAGATAAAAGTCTCTCCAAATCATCATATGCCCTCAGCTCGTGTACCATGCCAGAAAGGGTTAAAACAACAGCCACTTGCAGGGTAGTTTTCAAGTTTCATTACTCTGAAGGTTAAGAACTTTTCTACCCTAAATGCAGTTATAAAGGTATGTACTTAATATACATAGCATCATTTGGGCCTTCTCGTGCCACCCTCTCCTTGCAGCTACTTACTGTGCAAAAGACCTCAGATACAGTGAGGGGGGAATTCTTCACCTTCCACTAGCACCACCATCCCACCTCCCACTGCAGATATCTCTCCCCTCCAACAGCCCCTGTTGGAAAGTTTCTTCTGTCATGACCGCCATTGGCTATGTCAGAAGTAAGAAGGGGGTTGGAGCAAAGGGTGTTGCTACTGTGAGCATTAGGCAGAGAACAGAATCTGTTTCCTCTGTTGTACAGGGATGGAGAACTTCACATCCACTCAGGGCTTCTCTCTACAACTGAGGAAGAACAGACACTTCATAGAATCATAGAATAGTTAGGATTGGAAAGAACCTTAAGACCATCTAGTTCCAACCCCCCTGCCATGGGCAGGGACGCCTCACACTAAACCATGTCACCCAAGGCCTAGTCCAACCTGGTCTTGAACACTGCCAGGGATGGAGCATTCACAACCTCCCTGGGCAACCCATTCCAGTGCCTCACCACCCTAACAGGAAAGAATTTCCTCCTTATATCCAACCTAAACTTCCCTGTTTAAGTTTTAACCCGTTACCCCTTGTCCTGTCACTACAGTCCCTAATGAAGAGTCCCTCCCCAGTATCGCTATAGCCCCCCTTCAGATACTGGAAGGCTGCTATGAGGTCTCCACGCAGCCTTCTCTTCTCCACGCTGAACAGCCCCAGCTTCCTCATCCTGTCTTCATACAGGAGGTGCTCCAGTCCCCTGATCATCCTCGTGGCCCTCCTCTGGACTTGTTCCAACAGTTCCATGTCCTTTTTATGTTGAGGACACCAGAACTGCACACAATACTCCAGGTGAGGTCTCACAAGAGCAGAGTAAAGGGGCAGGATCAACTCCTTCAACCTGCTGGTCATGCTCCTTTTGATGCAGCCCAGGATACGGTTGGCTTTCTGGGCTGCGAGCACACACTGCAGCCAGCTCATGTTCATTTTCTCATCAACCAACACCCCCAAGTCCCTCTCCACAGGGCTGCTCTGAATCTCTTCTCTGCCCAACCTGTAGCTGTGCCTGGGATTGCTCCGACCCAGGTGTAGGACCTTGCACTTGGCATGGTTAAACTTCATGGGGTTGGCATCAGCCCACCTCACAAGCGTGTCGAGGTCCCTCTGGATGGCATTCCTTCCCTCCAGCGTATCAACAGAACCACACAGCTTGGTGTCATCGGCAAACTTGCTGAGGGCGCACTCAATCCCACTGTCCATGTCAGCAACAAAGATGTTAAACAAGACCGGTCCCAACACCGATCCCTGAGGGACACCACTCCTTACTGGTCTCCAGCTGGACATTGAGCCATTGACCACAACTCTTTGTGTGCGGCCATCCAGCCAGTTCTTTATCCACTGAGTGGTCCATCCATCAAATTGATGTCTCTCCAATTCAGAGACAAGGATGTTGTGTGGGACAGTGTTGAACACTTTACACAAGTCCAGGTAGGTGACATCAACTGCTCTACCCCCGTCCATCAGTTCTGTAGCCCCATCATAGAAGGCCACCAAATTGGTCAGGCAGGATTTCCCCTTAGTGAAGCCATGCTGGCTGTCACCAAGCACCTTGTTGTTTTTCATGTGCCTTAGCATGCCTTCCAGGAGAATCTGCTCCAAGGTTTTGCCAGGCACAGAGGTGAGACTGACTGTTCTATAATTCTTCGGGTCATCCATTTTCCCCTTCTTGAAAATGGGGGTTATATTTCTCTTTTTCCAGTCGTACGTCCCTTTTTCTTTTCTACATGTTTGAGACCATTAGTAACTTCATGGACTTTTGTCATGCTGCCCACTCTCTCAGTTGTCCTTTTTATCAGGTAAAAACTGCCAGCCTTCCACCTTCCTCCACAAGAACCCTCTCATGCCATCATGGATTTCTGCTCCCCAGATCGGAGGCTGGACAGACTGCTGAGTACACATTTAAGTCAGGCTACTTCGATGACCTCTCCACATAGTTGTATATCTCCAACAGGTACTTGCTGTATCATTTCCAATAAGGAGGACACATCCTTACACAATAAACACTGAAAGCCATGGAACACCTCGACAACGTACCTGTCTGGCAACTCTGCTCTCAGCCTCAGCATAACACTTCCTCTCTGGGATCTGTGGGAAACAGAAGATCAGCACAGATGGGAAGTCATTCCTACACATAGCCCATCATAAACACACTGCCTCTGCCTCATAAGCTTTGCCTTTTCTATGTGCTTTAGAAAAGGGAGAACAGAACAGGTATGGTCTTGTCCCAGGAATTCCATTCCCCATGCAGACCACCATTGCATGTTGACAGTACACCCATCACTAGAAAGGATGAAGGTAAGCTGAGAAAGGAGAGGGCTTTGCATGCAGGAGTTAAATAGCAGATAGATTAGATCTTATCATTTGAGATTTCCAGGAAAAGTATTATGTTGCTATGGAAACCTCAACATAACCTGGGTTTTCCCTCCTTTTGTTTGTTCATTTTCTACAAGCACTGGCCTCTCCCACTCCTATATAGCTGGGCTTGCAAAAACGATTTTTTACGTGATGTCCACTTCTCTTGGCAAGCATGTTTTTCTGTACATCGCCTTTCACAATATCACTGTCACAACCTCTTGACCACTCTCAACTCTTCTTTCGCAATAAGTACTGTATAATTTGCCACAGATTAGGAAGCTCCTAAGCACTTGGCTCTCTTTCTGCTTGGGGAAAAGAGAGAAAAGCCTCACAGTAATAAACAGAGCTTTTTTGGACTTCATTCAGTGGAAAAAACAAACATATCTACAACCTCCCTTCTCACAGAGTCAGCAACATGCACCTCTAGTGATTGTGGTTTAGTACAGTGTAAGTTTATTACAGTGTAAGGACCTGTCTCACTCTAGGCATTGTAGGTGTTTACTCCCGAAGAGCAACAGCTCTGCCCACGAGTTTTCCATGTAGCAAATGAGACCAAACCCAAGAAGCAACCCAAAACCCCTAGAAATTGACTTTATATTTGCAGTAGTCACCCAGCCACACCAAAGCAAAGAGCACAGCAAGAAACAAAGTAAGAATCCTGTAGATTCTTCTGTGTTAGGTAGCCCAGGCCTCATCAGTGACTACACATGTACAACTTGAGAATGCCAGATGAGAAACAAACACTACTACTACAAACTGGCAAAGAATTGTGTACAGGAAGGGGTACTGGTGACACCTTGGAAAGGTCATTTCAGCTTACCTGTCACATTGTCTCTTTTAGATTGTCAGCACTATAGAGGCAAAGACTACCAGGGCTGTTACACAATGCATAGGACTACAAGAGTCAAACCTGATTCTGGCCCATTATCATTACAGAAATGAAAGTGACACAAGGTGATAAAAAACAAGAGGAACAAACCTGACACAATTCCCAGCAAGTCATGCACACAAAATAAAAGCCTGGTCTCTACCTCGCAAGACATCAGTGCAGTTTTTCAGAGCTGCTACTAGGTTTGTCACTCTGGAGTGACCCTACTGTTATTGAGCAATGGGCTGTAGAACAGCAAGACAGCACCCAAACTTTTGGGTTGAAGAAATAGAAGTGTGTTGCAGTAGTGCCAATACATACCTACTATTTGTTTTCTTGTATCCACTGGTATCAAGAAAGTCCACCATTAACAATATTCTGCAAGCATTTTCATGGAAACATTAGCACTGTAAGTACCACAAATTAAGAGGGTCCACTGAATGCCACAGAAAAGAGATCAGCTAAGCGTGAAATACTATAGTTTCACCGTGTCACTTGCAGTTATCTCCATTTTAGGATGTCTCAAGAAACAGTGTTCCCTTTTTAGCACTGGGAAAAGGAAGCATTTTTCAGGCAAAAAGAATGTGGATATTCTGCTCAAGTTTTCCTTGCTTTTATTTCCGGGCATCTCTGGCCATTCATTTTACTCTTACAACAATAAGAAGGATTAGCCTTAATGAGTTTCATGGACACATCAAGAGAATCTTTCCAAAAGGAAAATGTCCCTCTGGATAGAAGACTTTGATGCACAGAAGCATTTACCTACCAGATTCCTTCTGTTCTGCACCTCATGACCTCATAATTTACACATACACACACACACATCACCTTGACATCAAAACACAGCTCCATGTGTACAAGCCTTTCACACTCAAACTTTCCCTTACCTAATCACCTCCACAAACCACACGAAAGTGACTACCAAGTACAGGCTTTATCATCTCCTTTCTCTGGACTAGTTCTTACTTCAGTAGCATAAATGGTTGTATCCTTAGATGGGAACATCTTCTCAGTAAGCTCTGGAGACACACCACCAGTTAAGGTGGCTTCAGTGCCTAAGCAAGCTTTTTTAAAGGTAAAAAAGGGCACTTCAAAACTGAGTCCCACTCTGTATAATGTAACATGATTTCATGGGTACTAGCAACCTCAAAGCACTCTTCATATCCTTCAGTTGGAAGATGACACCAAGAAGGACGCAGAGGTTTTTGCAGTTGTTTGGATGGTCTTCCCGCAAAACTGATCAGCAGTTGCCCAAAAACTGTAACAAAAAAAAAAAAAACAGAAAACCACCACCTTTTCGTTTACCTGGTCCTGGCTAGTCCTAGAATATATGAATGCCAAGCTGCAAAGTTGTTATCCTGGAGCTGCAGATTCAGCAAGTTTCCTGCGGCTTTCTCAGCAAAGCTACGGTGGAAAGAAAACGGACGTTCACCATCGCTATCTGTGCAAACAGCCCCACCAAGTGGCCAAACACAGCTAGATCTTCTCTGCCACATCTTGCAACCAAAGCAGAAAAGTCTCACGAAGCTCTTGTTAAAAAATACAAATTTACTTATCTAACCTAGCCCTACTCATTATGCCCAAAGCCTAAAAGAAAGAGGGCTTCTGAGACAGAGTTTTTAAGATCTTCTTTCCAGCAAGACTGTGCACTAAAGGCAAAACAAGGAAGTGAAAGAGAGGCTTCTTCACAAGGAAAGCAGCAGCAAGGTGTACAAGCAGGGAAAGATGTGTCACAAAACCTCTTAAAGTTTTGCTCATGTTCACATACTGTGCTAAGCCATAATCTAAGCTGCCCACCCATTTCTCATCTTATTACTACCTTTTCTACTTGCAAAAATAACAAAGTTGGTTTAAATTCTTAAAAATATTGGAACAAAGCCCTGGTCTCCCTCTTGGGACAACTTATTCCTGTGGGCAGGTGACACCTACCCTTCCTTTCAATAGTTTTTGCCATAGAGTCTGTGCAAAGAAAGGATACTCACAAACAATTGGAAGTTCAAGCTGTGCTGTCCATACATATATTCTGGATGTTCGTATGTCTTAGCTTGTAAGTGGAGGTACTTTAATCTCAGTGTCAACGTACATTCTCTCAGCAGTACAGCAGCTGCACAACCCTTCTGATAAACTCCATGCCCCTCCTCTACTCCACCCACTTCCCCTGCATTCATATTTTCTACAATTCTAAGCTAAAACTGTTTATCCTAAAAAAATGGAGTTTTGGCGATAGGCTATGGACAACCTGATGGACAAACCCCATCTTCTACTTCCTACTCCTGGAAAGTGACCTTCTGAGTGATACCCTATATTCACACTGAACTTTTGGGTGATCTAAGCTACTGCCTGATCTATGCAGGTTCCTTAAAGAAAAGCTCTAGTAAGACCCAGACCTTGATAAATCAGAGCACAAAGAAAGTGCCTGGGCTCTGCTGTAAATTAACCTGAATTGGCATCAGAGTTACTGGGTTACTCTAGCATAGAAGCAGAGGTGTAGAGCCAAGTTTACAGGGTACTTATACAAAGATGGCGTAGGTATTAAATCTCTCACACAGGCTAGCATGCTGCTATCACAGCTACATCCTGCCCTGGTTTCCCAAAGATCATCAGATATGGCCTTCTACCCATGGAAGACACACATACGGCCCAACAAAAGGGTTATAAACAAGACATACACTAAACAACCTCGTCTTAGAGTAAAATATCTGACAATTATCAACATCAGAGGGAAAGTTGTACTGCTTAAAAAGACATTCTGGATCATTATATAGCTACAATAATTTTTTTGCTATACAGAAGAAATAGGCAGCATATCATCTACATATGACTATAATGGAGCTAAGTTTCTTCTGAAGAGAAAAGGCCTGGCATCTTCAGGCTGACCCTAAGACAAGCATTTGTAACTGGATCTACATGACAACTAAACAAAGAAAAGATCTTGCTGATACTAGCTACAGAAATTCAGAACCAGGACTTTTCCTGTATGCACTAGATGTTTAGAATACAGATACAGTAGAAAGCCACATGATTACACATGAATCACTGAATGTGGTGTGTTACTGATGCTGCATCACATCATCCAAATACTCTGATTGTTAATCTACCCAAGAACAGACACTAGCACTACAGCAAGATGAAAGGTCAAAAGTGGAAGTACAGCCAGTGGTAAGAGTGAAGGCTGATACAGAGGTTTGCCAGACTGAATGAATAACCAAGATCAACTCATGAAACCACTGCAAAGATTCCCGCTTCCCTCAGAGCTTTTAGCTAGGGAAAAAAAAAAAATAAACAAAAACCACCAAACCCCCAAAGAACAAACAAAAACAACATAACCCCAAAACCTAGCAGACAACTATTAGAATAATTAAACATTTTTCAATTCAGCAATATGCAAAAATAGCACATACATTCCCTAACACATACATTGCTTTCAATACTGGGGGGGAGGGGGCATGATGTTATTGTTCCTCACCCCAAGAAGTTTGTAGGGAGCAACAGGCTTTTATGGCCAAAAGAGAACAAGGTACCTTTTCCTCATCTGAGTTCTGCGAGAAAAAGCGGGGAGAGTAACAAGATTAAAATCAAATAAGCAGCATCAATACAGTAAGAGAGTTAAGAACTTCACTGAAGCTGCTACAACAAATTATTCTTGCCCTGGTGGCCAACCAAAATTAACTTGATGCTATATGCACTCAGAAAAGGGGAGATACTTTACATATGTAACTAGACCAATACATTTATATTGAGCACTCTCACCTCAGTAGAAGTTTGCTTACATGCTTGGGAGCTAAAAATATTTTTCATATTACTCTTTAAACATATCTAGCTGCAAATACAGTCTGTATTTTGTACTGCTAAAGATTTCACCTTGAATTAATCCATGTGCTGGCTGCAAGATTTAGTCGTGAACACCACTGTTATCCTGGTTTCAGCTGGAATAGAGTTAATTTTCTTCCTAGTAGTTGGCACAATGCTGAGTTTTGGATTTAGTCGGAGAACAATGTTGATAGCACACTGATGTGTGCGAGTCTCCTTCCCTCCCTGGAGACATTCAAAACCCGCCTGGACGCATTCCTGTGTAACATTATCTAGGTGTTCCTGTCTCCGGCAGGGGGATTGGACTAGATGATCTTTCGAGGTCCCTTCCAATCTCTAGCATACTGTGATACTGTGATGCTTTAGTTGTTGCTAAGTAGTGTGTACCCTCATCAAGGACTTCTCAGTTTCTTCTGCTCTGCCAGTGAAGACTGCTCTCATCTCAGCCCATGGGGTTTTACCTTTTTCCAATTCTCCTCCCCATTCCACCAGACAGATAAGGGAGCAGCTGTGCAGGAGTTGGTTGGCAGCTGTAGGCTTCTTGAGTTTTGGGTTTGTTTGAAACTCCTCAAAAGTATCATTTGACCCAGATTCGTCATTGTTGACAGGCTATTGTTAGTAACTAAACAGATGAAACCAGCCCAAGCAATACAATGCAGATTTGCTACAAACTTTATGTAGTATATTAAATACACTGAAGTACATGCAAAAATGCAAACAAAACCAAACAAACAAGAAAATCAAACCACATATTTAAACAGTTTTATACCAAGCTGTATAGCAGGTACTGCCATTCAATCATTCTCACAGGTAGACTACAGGGAAGGGTGCAATGGCCTCATTCCTCATTCAAAGTCTAGCCTGGCTATCCTCCTCTATCAGCTTCATGATAAATGTCCACCTGTAATGCAGTTATTTCACAACTGTCTCAAAGGGGTTGATTTGATTTCTGCAGTTTTGATCTGGGCCTTTGCAGAGGGCTCTGGTACAGAAGTACTACCAAAAAACCCAAACAAGATTTTGAATGGCACTTCCCTCTTGAGGGAAATTGAGCTGTGTCACCTTAGCAAAGCCATCATCCCTTCATTCCTATTCAGGTCACACTAGCACTCCCCCACTGCCTTGCCATACGGTTCAAGATGAGAAGTTCTTGAAAAGCAGCAGTAGACTCACACCTAGGAAATCAATTATCTCTAGATAAAATTTAGGTTTTGTTAGCTTTTATTTATAGGTATTTTAGGTACAAACCAATAGGCCACTCTGAAGGCACAGAATCTACTGGAAACACATAAACCTGTCCCCAGAAATCAGAAATTTCATTTCTTCACGAATTGTGGCCTTTTATTTTACCCAACAGCCTGTGTTGCAAAAATGAGAGCAGGAATCAGAATCCAGCATTTTCTTTATTCCGCAAGTTCCTAATCACCGACCTCACAAGCATAATCTCTAGCCTAAGAATTTTTACATGCATTTTCCTGAGGCAAAAGTTTATCCTGTCGAAGTCATCTACTGGTTGGAGCAATCCCTTGCAGTAACTACTTGAAGTTTTTGGAAATACCTTTCCCAAAAGCTGCTGTAATGACCAGGCTGTGGACCACAGCCTCCAACAAGTCTTTATGAGAAAGCAGATATTACTACTATATTTACAGAATACCAAGTTGCATGATTTTACTTTAAATCTTTATGGCATCACCAAAAAAAGTCTCAATCCCAAAATTCTGAGAAATTAAAAGAAAGTATCTTGTCAAGCTGGGATATAAGCTAGGCTGACATGAGAAGCAGGGATCTCAAGAAAGCTCAAGGAAAACACTTTACAACCCTTGCCATCTGTATTAAGGAATTCTATAGTATTGCAAGTCTGGAAATACCTAAAAATTATCATACCGTTTTGAACAGACATCAAATTCATTAGCAAGTTCTGCCAATGAGAAGCAACATCTTCCCATAGATAGTATCTGTATCACACTAGATAGAATTCATGCTATGGCAAAGGGAATGAAGTACACTGCACATGAAGAACATAATGCTTTAACACACAGCACAAAAGGAGACATTCCTTAAAAAAACAACAAAAACCCAGAAGTTATTCTATGTGTGGTTTAGAGTATGGAATCCATAAAGAACTTTTCTGTGCCTTGCATGTACTTAACATATTTAGCTCTTGGAAAAATCACCTGCCTTAGCAGATAAACTTTGATCTCTACACTAGATGATGCTGCACAACACTGCAAGACTGTTGGGATAACAGAACTCTGAAAAACACGAAGTTACAATACACACACCTCACCATCACACAAACTATATTTGATGGAAATGGGGAATCTGTATGAGAAGCTTTGTACTTGGTTAAGACTTGCAGATTAACACAGACTTTCACTGAAATGTCTTGCATACTTCAATGTAAGAAAAATCTTCAAAGCAAGAACTTAAAAGTTTTTGATGCCCCAGTAAAAGCTTTAGAAGCAATGATCACCTGCTGGCCCTAACTGACTTACTAGCACCTCTAGCTAATAAGAGAAGTTGAAGAATTAAACAAAACCAGAACGATATTCTCTATACAGGCTTGAATCATCCACCCTTCACTATTAAAAAAAAACAAAAAACAGACCTTCTAGTAGTACACATTCCTACAAATGTCCAAACCAAAATTTTTAAATTGGAACGCGTTATACAAAGTCAGCTGGGAGAGAATGGAGAGGGGGAAAAGACATAAGAGAGAGAGGGTTAAATATCCTTATATCAACTATTTCAAAAACTAACATTTTATTTTTTAAATAATTATAAGCACTGCGGAAAAAAAATCAAGTCATTAATTATCCATGCCACAAAGCACAAGCTCTTCAGTTCAGATACAAGGATAAACATAATGAAGGTGGAATACAAGTGAAGACAGGTCTATGAACTGCTTCCAGAAGCCTGAACTCTGAGCAGCCCCTTCTCCAGTTCAGCAACTTTATCTTCCTGTGAGGCTGCGTAACTCTTTGCTGTCTTAATGAGGGAGTCATGATGCTTCTCCAAACAAGCCTTCAGATGTAGGCATATTTCCTAGAAAGAGGAGATAAAGGTGGATGGAATATCCACAAGCCAAGTTAATATTTATGCTTTATAAGGATTTAAGTGAGAGTGGCCTGTTGGTCGCAAGTGACTTCAAACATACTTCATCCCTTACTTAAGAAGCTGCATTAACAGAGCACAGGAAAGTTACAAAACCCCAGAAGAATAAGAGCAGTCACAAGCAAAATCCCAATATCACAATTCTGTTGTAAGTCAAACAGTCAAAATACTAAGATGGTCAAACAACTAGCGCTAGCCCAGCATTCACACTGCTACCACCCCGTTCTGCAATAACCTGTGCCACCAAGGTCTTTGCTACTGTGACTGACACCATTGTCATCCCAGCATGGATGGTACTTCAATAATGAACAGATAGGATGAGATGTTACAGGCAGGCTATGACCCCCTACTCCAAACCCATTAGGATTTCTGTCTCTTTCAAAAGCTGAGCTGGACAGTCATCTTCCTGAAAGCCTAGGAAGAAAGTGTTTGTGACATTGCAAGTGGTCCAGTATTTCAGGGAGACTGTTGAGAGGATTCTTGTACTGCCCATCACTACAACACAAATGTAAAGTCTCATAGGTCAGGTCCCAGAGGCCAAACAAGGCAAAAAAAAAATAAAAAATAAAAATAGAGCACCATGATACAAAAACTGGCATGATGCAACTAGCATAATATCTGCTATGGGCACTGGCGGGAAGACAAGTTTAAAATTTGCCTCCCAAAACACTGGGAGGCAAATCACAACATTCCAGAGTCTTTTCTCTCTGGTCTGCAGAGCCCAGTTCTGTGGGCCACCTGTATAGCCTGCAGAGACAAGAACAAGCCCTTGCAACCCAGTGAGACCACAAGCAAGAAGCACTCTTCCTCCCGTTATCCATCCAAACTGCCACCTGCACGGCCTACTCATTTTTAGGCCCAGTAAGTGATCCTTTACCTATACAGCCCAAGTTAAAAATCAGTTTTGATAATACCAAGTAGGATTCCTTTAGGGAAAAAAAAAAACAAAACAAACAAAACAAACAAAAAAAACCACTCACCTTAGCTTTCCTTTCTTGTTTTTCAGCATTATCATTCAGCTGCTGGATTTTGAACCTTGTCTGGTGGATTTCTTTTTGGATGGCCACCACTTTATCATATACAACATCCCTCTTCTCCTGAACTCTGTTACAATACCTAAAGAGGGGGGAGGGAAGTTAGTACTGAGCTATTTGACTAATTCCAGATTAAACTTAGCCCCACCACAAATAAAGCTTAAATTTTATGAGCATGAAACTAGCAGCTTCCAGAAGCAATGTTATATATCATTTACTTGCTTGGAAATTTGTCCAGTTCTTGCATTAGAACTTAGGTACAAGAAGTGCAAGTGTAACGAAGTGGAGTTAGAGGAGCATGTTGAAGAACTTCAGTTGTTCCCAATCAAGACAACTCAAGTGACTGCAGTGGAAACAGCCTAAAAGAGAGCTGAACACTGCATCTTCCTGCCTTAGCTTAATGCAGTGCAGGTCAATACAGTTTAGGTGTCAATGAAGATCCCCGCCTAACTCACTGGACCACATTAGAAGCAATAACTAAACTTGATATTTCAGCATAATTGAAAGTCACACATTTTCCTTAGCCCCAGATCACCTCACACCATATTAAAGCTCTAAGCCCATGCATCTACATATGTCCATCATTTCATTGCATTCCAAACAAAGACTAAATAATATTTCCCCATCTTGTAGGTAAATTCAGACAGCTCCAGCTGTGAGCTGCTATATAATCAGCAAAGCTGTTAGTGTGAAAACAGGAGAGCTATTTTTAAAATGCAAAAAAGACCTACGAGTTTATACTAAGCATTTGTACAATAATTACAGTTGAAACTCCAGCAGCTGCTTTTGCTAAAGAATGGCTCAAATAACTCATATATAGCAATAACCTACTTCTACCTTCTAAAATCAAGGGAACAGTCAGGACATATTCTCTCATTCACCAGTAAAATCCCTTGTTTTCAGACCATGGTTACCTCCCTTCTCCTCTTGCTTATAAAACACTCAATTTTATCACTTAAGGGAAATATCTAACACATTACAAAGAGATAAATTTGCAGCAACTTTTAACATAAAAGAACATTAGATTATGTTATTTTCATCCTTTATTTTGTAGGAAAACTAGCTTTTAATCAACCTTATTTAGCTGGTGCAATACACTAGAAGAGGAGCAAAGAAAGCCTGGGAACCTTGCTGCCATTCTACACATCATACAAATTTTTTATTAACGTGACTATATCTTAGTTGACTCTCTTAGCTCTGTGGGAAAAGCTCTCTTCCATTACAGTTAATCTACCTAACCAATAGTTTTCCATATTCCCCTTCCTACCTATGCACAAAAAAAAGTTATATAATAAGCTTTCTCTATAACAGATCAGCACCTCTAATCTTGCAGTGAAGCCACAACATTACAGTTTGCTGTTGCAGAAAGTAACTGCTGTGCTGTAAACACTGCCTTGCAGCTTGCCTTCAGCATATGGTAGGAAGGTAGATGGGCTAAGAGGCTTTGATCAAATGACACTTCCCTTTTTGTTTTAGACGCATCATGTCAGGATAATACTCCTCTGAGATATGAGCCCCATTTCCCCATGGGTCTTGAACATCTTTGATAATGAGCAAAAGTGGCAAGGGAAATTATGAAAAATTCATGAAAGGCAAATGGGGCTTTGTTGAAGTCTGATAAGTTGGAAAATTATCCCAATGTGACATTCTCTTTAAGAAGATAAAAGAATCAAGAATAAGCATTATAAATTAAATTAGTGCTCCAATAAAAGAATTGCTGTCAAGTCACATTGCAATTATTGATTTGAGACCCCAAGTCCCTGCCTGCAGCATTACTGGTCTTCATGCAAAGCTATCCCACATTACTCATTTTCTTCTCACTGCTAAACTACATGCTTGTATCAGACATGAACTTTAGTAGCACATAACAAAGACATAAAGTAGCATCATATAGAAATGTCAATTCATCCATACTCAAATACAGTATGCTTATATTGCTCAACATCTTCACGCTTCTTTTTTATCCTTATTTCAGCTGTAGACAGCTTCTCATGTTTTGCAGTGACCAGTCTCTTTAAGGATGTTTCATCTGTCTTCCCCTTTTTCAGCTCCATCTGAGCACTCTCAAGCTGGTCCTCCAGATCTCTGACCTAGAGTACAGAAGTATTGTAATATATTGAGTAGGAGGGAGGGGAAGGGGAAATCAAAATAGTGTACCCTATTGGTTTACTAAGATTGGAACTAACTCCTTGCTTTTGGAGTAAATGATGCTAACAAATTCTCTCGGTTAAATCCCAGTTCCCTAGTATTTATCTGATTTTAAATGTATCCACATGGACAAGATCCCATCACTTAGAATGATTTTCAGAAATTATGAGTTCTGCTATAGCTCTTAGCTAAGGGCAATTTGAACATATGCTACACAAATACCCAAAAAGAATGCATACCATTTTTCAAATACTCCTAACAATTTTATTATCTCAAAATCGTGTAGCAAATAGCAAGGTACTATATTGTGACAAACTTTTCATCAGGAAAAGGCTGGCTTAGTAATAAAGTTAAAAGCATTTAAGCCATAACAATTACTGAAGTAATAATTTTTTGCTCTTCATTTCTAGGCAGAAGAAACTGGATCTCAGTTCTCTTTTTCCATCATTTCCTACCAATAATCCCAAGACAGTTCAAACTATTTTAGGTCAGGTTTCCATGGCAACAAAGGCTTTGACTATTAAAAGTGGTCAATAGTACATGAGCACAGCTATGTTTTACTGACATTTTTAAGAATGAGATTTTTGAAGTTATCCGAATTCTTCCTTTTTGGAGAAGAGGAGAGATGGGGACTTTCAAAACAGACATTTACTGACAATCACCTATCTTGCTTAGTCATTAATTTATCCCCACCCTGACATAAATTTGCATAACACTAACCTCCGATAATACACTGGTCAGTCTTTCCACATTTGCTCCCTGTCTTTCCATCTTCTTTTGATATAACTGCACCTCCAGTTGGCATGATGGCAGAACCTCAACTAGGTCTCTATAACCTTCATATTTCTCAATAACTTCTTGCTTTAAAGAGAAAAGACTATTAATAAATAGCTTTAGAGTTCAGCTATTATTTTGTGTAGTATTAATGCATATTAACTTTTGTATCCATTCCCTCATTGTTTAATATACACTAGAAGTAGTATTTAATAGTTCCTGAAATAAGATCTTCAGTTTGTAAAAAGAATCATTTATTTGTAAAGCACAGACAAAGTGACACACAAGTGTTTTACACTGAACTAACAAGCTTATTAGAAGAGTTTTCAGGACAGGAAAAAAAAAAAGAAAGAAAAGCACAACCACACTGTACAGTAAAGAAATTCTATACTGGTAAAACCAGAGTTACATACAGCATCATAAAAACAGATGTCTGGAATTAAAGCAATAACACTTCCACCTTTGGAACAAAATTAGCTAAGAGACAAAGTGGCGCAAGCTTCACTGATGTATGAGCGATCATGAAATTCAAACATTTCAAAACTGGACATTACTACAAAAAAAAAAAAACAAAAACAAAAACCCCAAAACAACTAGGAAGATAACTCGGTGTTCAGCATACTAGTGGAGACAGACATGAATTCTAGAAACAATGAACAACAGAAATACTATGAAGAATATAATCCAAATCCAAGCATGATGTTTGTAAGCTGCAAAATATTGTCAACCCTAGAGAGCAAACAGCCAGACAGATATAATATAAATTCAAGAGTTCTACACCTGGTTTCATAAATAAATACTCACTCATTGAGGACAAAGCAGCAGTGACTGCAATCTCAAGAAAAAAAAACCCACACCAAAAAACAAAACACCCCCCCAAAAAAAAAACAACACACAAACCACCAACACAAAAAAGCCACACGCACAACCAACTTTCAGTTTTCTCTGAAGATGATTTAATTTCAGACTAACCACTGTTGATTTGTCACTAAAAGTGTAAGTCATTCAAGCACCAGTTCTAGATTATGACAGTTCATTAAAATGTGCTTTTTCTAATAGAATACCTCCTTGTGTGGAGAAAAACCTCACCTTGGATCTCTTGAGTTTCTTAACAGTCTCTTTCATCATTTCTTTGTAATTTTTCAGTTCCTCTGGACTCTCCACAATTTTTGATTTTAGCTGCTCTTGTTCTTCTTTCAAAGTAGCCATTGTCACTTTAAGGTCATTCTAGTCAACAAGAAACACACTTTCAATATCAGCAACTAGGTGAACAAAGAGGAATTGTGACGCATGGTTTGACAGGGTCTTGCAACAAGACAAATACTTTTCTCTAAATTGTTCTCTATTAGAATCATAGAACAGTTAGGGTTGGAAAAGACCTTAAGATCATCTAGGTCCAGAAATTTAAAAAAAATATATATATAATTTCCCCTAAATAGCATTAATATTCCAAATCAAAGCAGTAAACAGTCCATTTTGCTCCCTGAACATGCTTATTCAGGTGCAAAACTAAGTCACAAGAACAGTGCCTAACTAATATTCCACAAAAGGCCTGCCAGCTAATACATATTACCAACAGTGCTCTCCTTCAGAACCCCTCACCTAGGGCAATCAAGGTAGTCTATGCATAGTTTCAGAGACAGCTGTATCAATCTGGTAGAAGAGCTTCAAGCTTCCTGTGCAATCTCTCAAAAACCTGCTGGGTTATCCCCACCAGGTCAGTGGCTGCCTCATTAACCATTCTATGCACTGAAAGTAAGCCCATTCCACCTTAGAAATCCAGATTTCTTGCCCTTTAACAGGTCAGCTTCCTGAACACAGACAGAGCTTTACATTGAAGAGATGTGCATTTAAAGTTATCAACAAAACAAGCCAGTAAAACTTTGGGGCAGGGAGGTATGATACCAAATCAGTTTAAAAAAATAAAAAAATAATATAATAATAGTCACCACCTAAACATTACCTAGCTCCAAGAATAATTTGATCCTAGAAAGAAAGATGATCTATTAGTTGATCTGAGGTGCAAGCCACAGCCTACCCCCACACAAAGGTGTACTTACCAGTTTCCGGGTACTCTCTGCAATAGCTGACTTCTTCTGTGCAATCACTTCTTGCAAAGCTGTCTAAAAAAAAAATAAATTAAAAAAAAAATCAACAAGCTTTAAATAAGTATCTCTACAACTGCTGCCTCCTTTACCTTTCTATCACAGAACTGTCTACAAGTAAAATCCCATTTATGGTTTCTTTGGAGTGCTTTAACTAGGCAAACAAAATCGCAGCCTATAAGGTTTAAAAGACAGGGACAAAGAACATTGTCACAAAAGCCAGTGGGAGCACTAGGGACACAGCCAGCAGTAAGTAACTAGGAACAGGGATAAGAGACAGAGTACTACTTTGTTTTATTCTGTGCCAACCCTGACAGCATTATACGGACACAACCTTCTTCACCAAGAGTCACTATTCCTGAGAAAAATCTAAGTTAATGCAAGGTCCCAAATAATAGAGGTCACATGTTTAATAATATTAATAGTAGAGACATGCCTTAAAATTAAAAAAATAAAAACCAACACACCCACCCACAAAACACAAACAAACAAATCTGTGATTAGTGTTATTTTTGTTTTGTGGGTTTGTGTTTTTCTTTAATTTTCTCTGAAGCAGATGAAAAAGTTACTTATTAGACCTTAGAGGCAAGTTGTCATTGCTGGAAAGTTACCCTGCAATCAACCCTACTCTTTTTGCTAGGCATTCCCTTTGTTGACCCTTCTTAGGCCTCATTTCCTGCCGTGGCTCACCTCCAGTTCCAATTCTTTGAATTCATAGGGAAAACAAAGGGAAATGTACTCATGTTATTGTTCAAAAGTGTGATGTGTATCTCCCAAGTCATTGCAATTATGCATTTCAAACAGAAAGGGAGTACAAAAAGTATATATTTAGCTCTAACTCCAATTTCCAGTATGTTTCACATTCCTTAAAATGAAATGAAGGGTAGGTGCTAGGTGTTAGACAAGACACTGCATTGCAATGACATTTGTTTCAAATCAGAAAAGTCCCCTTTATTCTTTGTAAAAGTAAAGGGCAGGAAACAAAAAAAAAAACAAAACCAACAAACAGAAATAAGGAACACCCATGATCAGAAGCCATAGCAGCACTTGAGAGAAATGTATAACAAGATCATACTTGTTTTCGACGATAGTCTTGCCTTAGTAGTTGTTCCAGTTCTCGAATGTTATCTGTTAGTTGCTTGACCTCTGCTTGATGTTCAACTGGAACAGTGCTAAGCAAAAAAGGAAGATATTGGACAGTTTCAGCATAATTATGGTCAGGTCAACAGAGCACAGTAGATAAAACAATCACTCTCTCCAAACAGTTTACAACCAGTAACTTTAGTAAACAGGTCAAGACAGTCTCCAAGTAACACATTTTATTCTCCTTTACTTGGAAGATTCTATAGTTGAAGCATAATCTAAAGAGATATTTTGGCAAGAAGTGGTACATACTGGTCCAGGTTCAGCAGTAGCAGTTATTTTTCCCTTTCTTAGTAGCTGGTGCAGTGCTGTATTTTCAACTTTAGTCTGATAACACACCGATTTTTTTAGTTGTTACTGATAACACACTGATGTTCTCAGTTGTTGCTAAGTAATGTTTACTCTAACCAAAGACATTTTCAGTCTCATGCTTTGCCAGTGAGGAGGGGTGCGGGAAGCCGTGAGGAAGCAGGGACAGGACACCTGACCCAAACTAGCCAAAGGGGTATTCCATACCACAGCATGTCATGCCTAGTATATAAACTGAGGGGAATTACCCAGAAGGGCCAGATCACCACTTATGTCAGGCTGGGTATCAGTCAGCAGGTGGCTAGCAATTGTATTGTGCATCACTTGTGTTTATTGTTTTCTTTTCCTTTTCTCCTTTTAGTTTTATTCTCTCCCCTTGTTATTTCCCTTCTCATTATTATTGGTGGTAGTAGTAGTAGGTTTGTATTGTACCTTAGTTACTGGACTGCTCTTATCTCAACCAGTGGGATTTACATTCTTTTGATTCTCCCCCCCATCACTCTGGGAGTCGGGTGGAAGAAAGTGGGGAGTGAATGAGCAACTGTGTGGTTCTGAGTTACCAGCTGGGCTTAAACCATGACAAAGCATAACAGAAAACTAAATTTAAAGATCACATTTAGCAAAGCACAAGAGAACAACACTTTGACCAATTTTGTAGTGATTTTCATTTACAAAATTTGCATATTACTTGCCATTGAACAGCTTGTATTAGAGTAGACCTACAGCTAGCTACAGAACCTCCTGTCTAGCACATACCAAGAACAGCTATAAGAGAAAAAACTCATTGTTTTGAAAGTTATCTTGGAAGCTAGCCATCTCTTCATCCTATTATCCACAAGCAAAAAAAAAAACTTAATGCAAATACACAGGCAGAAGAACTAAATGGCCTGAAACAAAAGATGGGGCAAAAATGTCAAATAACTAAGGAAGACAACTTCATGCATCTCTTAGAGATGGCCTTCCTACAGCTATTGCAGACAAAGACATCTCACCAAAAACTATGTATAACAGCAAAAGGCTTCACCATAGCCTCCAAAAAACAGTATCCTCTCAAAGAAACCATATACTCCTAAAGACCTATTTTTATTCTCTGCCAGCAACTCATCTAGCCTAACGCCAGTAGAGCTACTTCCGTTAACCCTAAACTAACCCAACAGCAACACCTCTGTATTTTCTAGCTTATTTCCCAGGCAGGCTCACCACCACCATAGTCAGAAAAGGACCAACAGAGAAGTCAAGTTTGCTCAAGGTAAACATTCCTCCAGTAGTTATCACACAATTCTGTCAAATCACACAGCTTAACTACTCAGTTGCTTTTTAGGCACCCCATATAGAATCATTTAGGTTGGAAGAGAGAGAATCCAACCATTAACCTAGCATTGCCAAGTCCACCACTAAGCCACATCCCTAAGCCCCACACCTACAGATTTTTTAAAAACTCCACCACTTCCCAGGGCAGTCTGTTCCAATGCTTGACAACCCTTTTGGGGAAGAAGTTTCTCCTAATACCTAATCTAAACCTCCCCTGGTGCAACTCAAGGCCATTTCCCCCCCCTTGCTATAGCCTCCTTTCCGGTAGTTGTGGAGAGCAGTAAGGTCTCCCCTGAGCCTCCTTTTCTAAACAAGCCCACTTCCCTCAGCTGCTCCTAATAAGACTTGTTCCCTAGATATTTCATCAGCATTGTTGCCCTTCTCTGGACCCGCTCCAGTACAAGGCAGCACCTCAATGTCTGTCTTGTACTTGAGGGGCCCAAAACTGAACACAGTATTCAGGGTGCACCCTCACAAGTGCCGAGTACAGGGGGACAATCACTTCCCTAGTCCTGTTGGCCACACTGTTTCTGATACAGGTAGAGATGATATTGGCCTTCTTGGCCAGCAGAACACACTGCCAGCTGTCGACCAACACCCCCAGGTCCTTTTCCACCAGCCACTCTTCCCCAAACCTATAGCATTGCATGGGGTTGTTAGGACCCAAGTGCAAGCATCAGCACTTAGCCTTATTGAACCTCATACAACTGGCCTGAGCCCACCTACCCAGCACGTCCAGACTGTGTGAACTGAACAAGAAAGTCACATAGTGCATCTCACAGTGCTTACTCCTCCTACTCACTTCAGTTTCTCCAGCTTTGCTGCTGCCTCCTGATTTGCAGTCTCCAGTTGTTGGTGTTTCTCCATAGCTGCTTTCTGCAAATTAAATATTCGGAGATAACTTTTTATTTTAGAGGAAAATAGTTTCTCTCTGGGCTTCTATTAGAGCCCTGCTCATCATTATTTCACATGAAATGCACCATCTATGAACTTCTGAGATATTCAGAAGAGGAGACACCGGCAACTCAGTCCACTGACTGTACATCTATCTTTTCTCAAAAGAATTCACGGTGTGAGACCTTTGCTTATCAGGCTAAACTATCAAATAAGTTACTGGAAAAAAAATTCAGGTAATAGCTCAAGAAATAACTTAGCCATGGTCATAAAGAAACTGTTACAACATTGACAAGCTCATCCACTCTTCTAAACTGACAAGTTTCCTTAGGAGCTTTGCAAAGGCTCTTCTTTAACCATTTACAATAGCTGTGTATGCTTATAACATGCAATATAGTTGTACAAATTTCACGTAATATTAAACTGGTACCTTCCTGTATTACTTAGCTATATTTAAGATTCCAATGTGTTTCATAAACATGCAGTTAAAAAGTACAGCCTTCATGCTCCCAGTTCTAGGTTAATAATAATTATCTTTAAGTAGGTATCTACAGCAACATGGCACCCAATCTTACATAGCTCTGTTGTAACTCCAAGTAGACCTCACGTCGGGATTCTCTGAAATGCATGAAGTTGAGAATACCACTCAAGAAGCGAACTGTCCTCTTAGTTTCTGAAATAGGAATTGCAAGCCATCACTATGCTGGTTTTCACATGCACTGCAACTGCTTAGGAAAAGTTTGAAAACTTAATTCAAAGAGGCAAAAATTACAGAACCATAAAATCCAAATTAGTTCTTCTCCTGCTGACCTTGCAAAGGTTTCACAGACTACACAAAACCTAGCACCAAACTATGAACTTACAGTGTCCTAGCAATTTATGCAATTTAACAAATAGAAATAGCATCTTAGAAACTACCTATTAACATACAGCTTCCCACTAAAACAGAAGTCAGGGAGAAAGAGTGCCAATCTTCAACTACAACTGTGAAGACAGAACCTCACTGTAACTCTCAGGCTAACCAAAGACAGCAGTTTGAATTGCATGAACTCTTTGGCTCTATTCCAAGCAAACTTTGTGGAATATGATTACAACGGTCTAGGATGTCTTAGACAGTAGAGAGCCAAAAGTTCCGCAGGATAGCCTTTTCTATTTTGTTTGCATTGTACCTGAATTACCACAGCTGGGTATTGAAAAGGGTGAAACAAAAACTTAGTCGCTTCCTACACAAGCATCAGCATAATAAATCCTATGGCATTCCATAGCTGCAAGGGTAATTTTAATTATCATCTATTCTTACAGCATTTCAAGTATGTCACAGTCCACTCTCTAGGCCAGCAGTTCAACAGACTTCTAGCATTCAAAACTCCCCTCAATTACTTAACTGGATTAGCATACATAAAGAGGAGAACTGTTCATTAGAACCAACTTGTCTAGGGGCCACAGCTACCATCAGAAGATGAAAGCCATGAGCAGTTCCCCATACTAGATGCCCATCTGGCTATGCGATATGAGATAAAGCACCTGGAGATCAAGCAAAACCTAACACCCCAGGAAACACAAGGATTACAGTGCTCTTGCTTACTTGGGTTTAACACATCAGCAATTTGAAAATCATTAATCTGGCACACGGGAAGTAACCGCTCCCTGCAAGGAAAACAAAATATAACTTTATCTGCAATAACCATTATTCTGCTTTTGTGCTATAGCCATTTACTACAAAATGGATCTTGTCCCTCTAACCCCAGAGCATAAATACAGGAAGCACAGACCACATTAAGTCTCATAAGAATCACACAGTAGAACTCCACACATTGATCAGCATTAAAAATTTGTGTATCATCTCACAAAGTTTTCTATAGACAAAATGCTTGCCTCTAGAACAAGTTCTTATGCTAATCAGGAATTCCTACACTTAACTGTTAGTCAATTCTCCCTTTACAACTGAAACTAAGCTTAAAGTCTAACATTCACCTCATTCCAACAAAGAATCTACACAGGATTCAGGCAGCAAGTTTAAGCAACAGGTACTTAAGATCCCTCTTCTAGGCGTTATGATGACCTTCTAGCCAAAGTATATCCATCTTGGCAAGGCTGGATTATTTAGTTAACACATTCATTTTGACAAGATAGCTGCCTGCTGAGAATTTTAGTCTATTAAATACAGCTGTCCCCTGTTCAACTGCAAATTTCACATTGCTCAGAACCAACAGTGGAACCAGCATCAGCAAAAAGGCATAAAGCCCCACTACTTTTGGTAAATTCGACCTTTACAAGGAATTGCAACTGAACAGATGCAGCATCTTCTACTTACATGTGAATATACAGGTTACAAACGGGTAGAAAGCCTTCAAATATCTGTGGATACATTACACCTGTGTTGAGTGGCATCTAAAAAATGAAGAGTCAATGCATAAGTGTAGAATATTTAAACAAAAACTACACAGGTCTGTTTCCAAAACATAAGATAATTCAAAGAGGTTAAACACCAAGGATGGTCTCCCCATCTCCATATGAAACACAGGTTAGAGGCTGAAGAATGCCATCAAGTTAGTCAGCAGACTGTTTTAAGTGTCAGTTTTGGCTGGTCAAATTGTAAGATGACAATAGTAACTAAGGCAGCAACATTACAAACTCTGGAATTCAATTGAAACCTTCCATTTTATTTTGCTCAAAACTGGTGCAGAAGAACAATCTCAGCATTACACACCTAACACCAAAAAGCTCTTCCCTTAAACATCCTGAAATTCACACACTCAACTGTTTTATTAAGAAATCAGAAGGCAGCAGGAGTGGTACACTGCCACCCATTTCTGATATTTTAAGCCTCATACTGTATTAGTATCCCAGTTAATAACTTGATTCTTTCAAGGCAATGACATCTTGTGCATATATTATCTTTCATTTCAGCTTATTAAAAAATGGCATAAGACATTACTATTTATCCTCACTTAGGAATCAGTTCTTGTTTAACACAGACAGAAGATAAATTGTTAATCAACAAGGTAACAGTTAACATCCAGCTGCACTTTCTCCTTATTTTCCTCTCAGTTAATGGAAAAGTGGACATCATAAAACATTAAAAGCAATATTTACTTTCCTTGTATACCTGTCTAACACCTAAGCAAAGCAAAGATCTTCCTCCAGACAGAAACAAAGACAGATGCCTAAGGAGCAAGTATATGTTTTCAAGGCCAGAGATGATGTTCCTTCATAAGCTTGTCCAATCCCTCCTGGACATTACAGATATTTCCAGCACCCACTTCACAGCTTAACTGCAGAAGGTGAGGGGTTTCCACAAAGCCTGTCATTACAGCCAACAGTGTAAGTGAGCTCCTTTTCATGCCCACTAGTCGCTCTAGTGGAAAAGGGAGTCTCCTTTCCATGAATAATAAACAAACAATCAACCCAGAGGCAGCACACCCACAAAACCACTGTTTCTACAAGTATGTTGAGCTGAAGCCAACTTCTACACCAGGAACAATGATCAAAGCAACTTCTCAGACATGATCAGCAAGGCCCCAGCAACAGCCCACAAATGATGCTCCCAGGTTTGTTTACCTCTGGTAAACAACCCATGCCAAGATCCCACTCATGCAATGACAATATACAGAACAGTAAACTACTTCCAATTTGATAGTGAGAAGATGAAGTCAACATTTAATTTATTATGTGCAATTATTTCTTTCACATTTCATTGCACCTGCCACTACAGACATACCATGTAAAAATGCTCCAGGCGGATTCCACATACTTTCTGCAGGACTCTCATGTAAATCATATGTAAAACTTCAAGCTGCAAGAAGACAAGATATGAATCAGTATTAGAATCATAGAATAGTTACGGGTGGAAGGGACCTTAAGATCATCTAGCTCCAACCCCCCTGCCATGAGCAGGGACCCCTCCCATTAAACCATGTCACATAAGCCTCTGTTCAACCTGGCCTTGAACACCGCCAGAGATGGAGCATTCACAAATTCCCTGGGCAACCCATTCCAGTGCCTCACCACCCTTACAGTAAAGAATTTCTTCCTTATATCCAATCTAAACTTCCCCTCTTTAAGTTTTAACCCATTACCCCTTGTCCTATCACTACAGTCCCTAATGAATAAATACTCTGTTTATTCCATATGATTTATTATTCAGGGCTTCCAGACCAGGCCATGAAGACTAACAAGTCTTCATGAGAAGAGCCAGCAAGACTAACAAGTTTTACCTTCCAATAGTTTGCAGTTCAAGCATTACTATCTCATAATACAGTTATAAGAGACAGCAAGCAGCCTGGACAACTACAGTCCTACCTACCACAGCTGTGCACTGTTTCTCATTACATTGCTGCCCACTGAGCAGTTTTCAAAACAGGTGACACCAAAATCTGAAAAAAGGTCACAGCACATATAAATCCCATAGCAAGGGCACCCTTCATCATATTACTAAAATGGAGTGGCAGAAAATACCTACAAGCCAGTTATTCATTTACAGCACTGAACCATGATTAATTCAAATCAATCTCGCTTCTTAAAAACAATCATTCCATCATTCCCTAACCAAGCAGGACCAGCCTCCTCCTCCTCCAGCAGGCACAAGCACTTACCTAACAGCACAAGGAACCACACAGCGCAATTCAACTTTAAAGTCACTTCGCTTTTGTTGAGGACACTAAAAGTCTGTTCTAACACGAACAGTCAGACAGATACAAGGAGTGGAGCAGGGAGGGACTGGGTTTTGGGTTTGTTTTTTTTTTACAGCATTGTTTTAAAAGCATTAGGTGATTAACTAAGCTGTTGAAACTATGACAATGTACTAAACAGTGGCTATTTTAACCTAGTTCCCACAGAACCGAGAAAGACAGGCAGTTTACTTCCATGTATGTCCATGTTCAAACCCTCACCCCCTTCCTGCTGAGACTTGAGCAAGCTTCTCTCAAGCTGAAGAGAGAAACTGTAGGTTTAATCCTGTCACTCCTACAAGACTAACCTGCCGCATCAGAAAAACAAATCACCTCACTTAGAGGGCATTGCTGCATGCCAAAGATCATGCAAGCTGGGGAAACACCTAATACCAAATTGAATAAGTATTTCATTGTTTATGGAGACATATGGGCAAGGCTGTAAGGACTCTCAAAATAAGGAGGGCATGGAACAAGAGGACCACGTGTCTTCTTTCAAATCAATGTGGGTCTTTCTCCTTTTGATAAGGCCTGAGAAATAGATAAATAGCTGCAAAAGAAAACAGCTAAAGGAGCCTCTCAGGGTAGTAAATACACCCAAACAAGAACATGTAGTTAATTGGCAAAACTAAACAAGCATTCCAATGTTCTTAACTAACAGGTTTCCATAATAAAGGTAAAATGAGTGGAGATATTTCTCCCCAGTCGACTACCACAATCCTCAGAGACCACTCCTCAAATTCACAGCACCTGCACCACGGCCTTATCTACTCAAATTATCATATGCAATGAGTAACAAGAATTGGGTAGGCATTTCATGGAATTATGATTAATACGTGCATAATACAGCTACATAAGATGTAAACTGTCTCTTCTTGGTATGCACGACAGGCAGAGCAAACCCCCATGCACCTGGTACCATAACAAAGTAATTATCAGCTTTCTAGCCTATTATCCTGGTTAGAGAGTTTATTTAGAATCATAGAATAGTTTGTGTTGGAAGGACCCTAAAGATCATCTAGTTCCAACCCCCCTGCCACAGGCAGGAACACATTCCACTAGACCAGGTTGCTCCAAAGCCCAGTCCAACCTGACCCTGAACACTACCACGGATGGGCTCCTCCTGCCACTCCCGCCACACCACCGCAGGCCGCAGCCTCCTCCAAACACTCTCACGCACCTTGGGGTTGCCGAACACGTCGCCCTTGACCAGGTTCCGAGCCTCAGCGCCGGTTAGGATGAGGCCGCGGAGGTAAGTGATGATATCGTCGGGGCTGTATTGAGGGAAAGTAAGCACCTCCATGCCGGCGCAGGGCTATCACCTCACCGCGCCGCCAACGGCCCCTCAGCTTGAATCTGGCGGGCAACTCCCCCGCCACAGAGCCGCGTCACGAGCAACACTCCGATGACCAATCCACGACCGCGCCGGCGGGAGGGGGCGGGCCTTGGTTAGGCCCCGGCGCGCGGCGGCCGTTGGCGGCTTGGGGTGGGGCCGCCTGAGGTGGTTGGTGGGAGCGGAGCCGCTGTCATGGCTGTGGCCGCAGAGGGAGCGGCGGTGGCCTCGCACCTCTCTGGCTGTGGGGTTTGGAAGGCCGCCAGCAGCCGGCTTGTGGTGCTAAACGCTGCAAGGGCACCTACCACCGGAGGCCTTCTCCCAGGGGCAGAGGAGGTCCTCCTGCGTAAGGGTGGGCAGGCAGAGGAGCAGCATGGCCAGTCAGAGGGAACTGAGGCACCTGTAGAAAACTTGTCCTTGGTAAAAATGCTTCTGAAAAAACCTCCTTAGTTACCTTCTCCCGACTCCTGAGAGGAGTCAAGGCCAATCCAGTGCAGCATTGCACAGGGCTCTCACTTAAGTAGTACCAGTCACCAGCTCTTGCAGTTTGATGCCATTTGTGACAAAATTTGCACTGTTCACGCTTGTTTTGCGCAGTTTTGATGCTCTCATCCAATGCACGTGTCTTCTGTACCTCCAGCTGAAAGCAGCACCTGCTCAGCCAGCAAGGTCACAGCACTTCTCCTGGAGCTAGGCAGCTTTTGCGAGCCGTTGATACAGAGGTGTCATCTGGCACCAAGTGTGATATGGAGAAGCTCCAGCCACTGTTCTGCACCAGAAATCCGTCTCGGTTTCCAGCTGGGCACTCTGCCAAAGAGTCAGGTGAGTCACGGACACAAAGTGCTTCCTGACAGCCTTGCAGCCAGACATCTCCTTGGCATGGCTGTGACAGTAACGCAGCTTCCGTAGGGCTCCTCGCAGTCCCCAAAAGGCTGAGAAGTCTGCAAGGTCTTACACCATGTCTCCTTCAGGTAGACCACAGCCCCTGAGCCTCCTGTTTCTTTTAGGGATGGGGATGGCATCAGAGAGGATCAACTGCCCGAGAAGTTGTAGCTGTCAGTACCTGGAAGTGAACTGCACAGGGCAGCAGTTGCAGGAGTTCCCTGAGGCCATCCCGCTGGATACCAGGAAGCTGATTCTGGCAGCAAACAACGTCTCATACCTGCCCACAGTGGAATTGAGCTTCCTGGCTGACTTGGTCTATCTGGACTGCAAGAAGAACCTCTTAGGGCATGACCTGGATTTCACTTTAATTGGTGTGGCCAAACTTGTCTATCTGGACCTCAGCTTCAACAGTCTCACACAGGTCACTTTCAGCACCTTCTCACACCTCCTCAGCCTGGTGGTACTGAAGATCTCAGACAATCCTAGCCTTGTGGCCATTGAGAAGGATGCTTTTGCCAACAACACCTGGCTGAGGCACCTGGATGTGAGCCGGACAGGCTTAACATTCCTAGACGCCAGCACTGTCCAAGACCTGCCCAACCTGAGGTTTCTGGGGCTCAGTAACAACCTGTGGCACTGCAACTGTTCCTTTCTGGACTTCATCACTTGGATGACAGAGAGCAACGTTCATTTTCCAGGTGAGGGCTCTGTGAACAGGACCTCTCTTCTCCCTACTGCAGATCTCTGTGGAATGGAGAGGGCCCTCTGTTCTCTTTCTCAAAACTTCAGCTCAGGTGTGTGCTGCTGCATGTTCCATCCTCTGGTGTTGCACAAAACAGAAACAAGATCAGCTGAGCTACATGTGCTCCACCCACAGAGTCACACTTGCTCACACCCTCAGGACAGTCAGAAAAGTGGACCCTTTAGCTAGAACGTTGTTGCTCTAAAATGGCTGGTTTCAGCCTCAGAAGGTGCCTGCAAGTCACAGCACCTTGTGATTGCAGTGCCAAGAATGAGAAACCCAGCACTGCTCTGGAAAATAAACACTGGGAAAACTGTTGCTGAATTTTCTGCCTCGTCTCCTGCTCTGATCGCTTAGTGCTGCCACAGTATCAGTGTGTGTATAACCATCAGTTAAGCCCCCTTTCTCTGCAGAAATGCTGCCTCTGTTCTGACCTGCTCAGGGCAGCCTCTCCAGCCCTGACCTCTCATCATCCACCAGTGTTCCTTACGCCTCAAACACCTGCCAGCGCTTCCCACACAATGTCCCTGGCAGGCAGACCTCATCCACACAACGTCTACAAGCGGCAATTCCACTCAGTGCTGAAAACAAAGCCAGGCTGAAAGCCAGTCAGTTCTTCCGCTGTAACCTTTCACTGACATAGTCTCTGGGAAAAGTTTGGGTAGTGTGGCAGCCAGTAAGAATTTTGCTGCTGACTTCTTACGGTGCTGTGATCACACCCTGATCCCTGATGGCCCTTTACCATACATGAAGAGTACTTTGCCTTAATAGCATAGCAGCTGTTACGCTAAGACAGATAAAAATTACAAATACTGCAACCTCCAGCTGTGAATGGAGCTCAGAGCAGGTACATTTGACTGATTCTCCATACCAAATGTGACCCAATGCTCAGAAGTCAGAGGAGGACATTTTGCTGTTCCCGTGGGAGCTCTGGTTTGGGTCCCTGCTGACATTTCATGGTGAGAGAAACAGAACACAAATTATGCTCAGAAAAATGTCCGTATCCTTATGTCTGGGAGGCTCCATATGGTTCCCACTATTCCTCCAGCACCTCAAAAGAAATTTGCACTCTTTTATCTTTTCCAAAATAAGAAATGTATGAATAATGCAAGTGAGCATTGAGTCCCATGAGCTGCAGCAGCACAGTGCAGCTTGCTGCTGAATAAAAGCCGTTTCTTGAAAAGAGAGTCTCTTAAGACTTCTTCGCATCACCTGGGATCCCAAAATCAGCTGTTTCAAAAATCATCATACTGAGAGATTCTGCAACTGGGCCATAGACATTGAGTGTTTATGAGGCAGGATAATTGCCAGTTCCCTTTCCCAGGAAAACACTGGTCCCAAGGGCAAAGCTTTGTTCTGCAGCTGCAGCACATGAACTCAACTCTTCTAAACCACCAAGAAGCACAGCAGAGCACATACTGATGAAGAAAGCTTGACTTTCAGTAATGCAGGACACAATAGAGATAAAGCAGCAAAAAAGAAATTGAGAAAGTCTGTCCATCAAGTAAGGAAGGGCCACAAAAGAGCCCAAGGAGAAAAAAAGGAAGGGCAAATGGAAGCTGATGTTAGGACAGAACCAAATTAAGGACATCTCTGTGTCTTATTAGATGTAGTAAGCTCCCTATAGACAGTGGAGTTATTTTCCACATGCAAGTTACAGGCAATTCTTGAACAGTATAAAGTACTGTTACTGATCTTAGCAGTAAGATCAGAGGTAACACACTGAACCCTCCTCCTCTCCACTGCTCCCTTTCCCTCAGGCCCATCTATCCCATGCATCAAGTAGTGACCAGCCTGTGTCTGCTCTGGGGAACACAAAACCTGCCCGGCAAGGGGAGAGGTACAGCCAAGAGCACCCTGTGCTTCCACAGCCACCAGAAGGAGATGGTGGTTTTACCATGCTCAGCCTTACAATCATAGAATAGTTAGGGTTGGAAAGGACCTTAAGAACATCAAGTTCCAACCCCCCTGCCATGGGCAGGGACACCTCACACCATGTTGGCTTTGTCCAGCCAGGCCTTGAACACTGCCAGGGATGGAGCATTCACAACCTCCCTGGGCAACCTATTCCAGTGCCTCACCACCCTTACAGTAAAGAATTTCCTCCTTATATCCAATCTAAACTTCCTCTGTTTAAGTTTTAACCCGTTACCCCTTGTCCTATCATTACAGTCCCTAATGAAAAGTCCCTCCTCAGCATCCCTATAGCCCCCCTTCAGATACTGGAAGGCTGCTATGAGGTCTCCACGCAGCCTTCTCTTCTCCAGGCTGAACAGCCCCATCTTTCTCAGCCTATCTTCATATGGGAGGTGCTCCAGTCCCCTGATCATCCTCGTGGCCCTCCTCTGGACTTGTTCCAACAGTTCCATGTCCTTTTTATGTTGAGGACACCAGAACTGCACACAATACTCCAGGTGAGGTCTCACAAGAGCAGAGTAGAGGGGCAGGATCACCTCCTTCAACCTGCTGGTCACGCTCCTTTTGATGCAGTCCAGGATACGGTTGGCTTTCTGGGCTGCAAGCACACACTGCTGGCTCATGTTAGGTTTCTATGCAAACCACTAACCACTAGTTTCTCATGCCTAACTGCAAACCTCTCTAATTGTCAAATGCACACAAGCCTCGTTATTCCAGACTAATTTAGACTCTATCCCTTCAGAAGGTGTTTGAGATTAAAAAAACCCACACAAGTTCTCTTATATTAAAATAAAAGTGTTTAATCAGCAGAGATGAGCAATGCAGGGACAGCAGTCTGCCTCAGTGGCACAATCCAGCAGGCAGTATTTTCCTGTGTATGGAGGCAACACCACAAAAATCATTCAGGCAATCTGGCAGCTGTGGTTGGGCAAGGGTTTGGCAAGGATCTGCCTGTCTGGTTTTACCTCAGCCATAGAGAGAGAGGGGTATGAAATCTGTAAACACTTTTCACTCTCCTCCATCATTTTTCTGGCAGGACTCCTGTTTACTAACACTTAAAACACAGGCAAAAGTCTTGCTTCTGCTTTTCCCTCTGCAGATGCTGACAATGTTACCTGCTATACCCCAGAAAGCTTGCATGCCCTGAAAATGCCTGCAGTGGAAGCACAGCTCCATTTCAACTGTCTGACCCAGCTGTACAAGCAAGACTACATCTTTCTGTGTCTCGCTGGCTTCTGCATATTCTTTGCCGGCACCGTGGCAGCCTGGCTGGCTGGCATCTGTGCTGTCATCTATGAAGTCCACATTTCAAAGGGAGAGGAGGAGGAGGAGGAAGAAGACACAGTCACTTAGGATCACCCTACAAATCCTTCTGAACTCATGGGAACTGAAGGCAGGCCCTTCCTGCCTCCTTTCTCACATAATGTCCCACTTCAGTTGTTTTTTGGGTTTTTTGTTGTTTTTTTTTCCTGAAGTGAAATAAAACTGCAAGAGGAGAAAGTCTGTCCCAGTTCTACTCACTGTGCTACCTCTACTTGTCTTCTTCCACTCAGATGCAGGACACTGGCAAAATATTCATTTGGGTGGAATGCTTGAGAGGTGTGGACAGTGCCAGGGCATTTACACTTCTGCTTTAACATGAGGCCACCGAAAAGCAGGACCATAGGGACCTGCTTGAAGAGGTATGATCTGAAACATGGGAAAGGCCCCAGCACTGTGCTCTAGTCACGGGGTTCACCAAGCCCTCCCTGGTCAGAAAGCCCAGCAGAGATTACTGGGACCAGCCTAGATAGCTTACTGGGGCCCCAGGGAATCCAAGAACTTTCTGCTGTGGAAAGGCAAGTACATGAGCAAGGAGGTTAAATCCAGGACTTTTAGGGGCCCAGGATCCCACTGGGTCTTGCTTGCTTCCCCATTACACTTGGTGACAGCGAAAGACATCATCTGTCCCCCTGCAGCCACACCCCTTGTACCTCCACCAGTTATGTTATGTTATGAACATTGACAGAAGTGCAAAGTTCAGCTTCAGTTTTGTATCACATATCTCAAAAACTAATGTAAAAAAAACCATGACTTACACACACTCCAAGTATTCTTGGAAATGGCTTGTGTTTCAATGCCAAAGTCCCATATACAGACCAGAAAAAAATGGAGAGGTAAATAAGAGCCTTCATATCTCTTAACGCTGGCAATTGCCAATAAAAGGATCTATTTACATGACAAAGTACGTCGACTTGACATGTGAAATACTGCTTCTTCATCCAGTACTAGCAAGGGCAACAAAGATGATTAAGGGAGTGGAGCATCTCCCTTATGAGGAAAGACTGAGGGAGCTGGGTCTCTATAGTTTGGAGAAGAGGAGACTGAGGGGTGACCTTATTAGTGTCTATAAATATATAAAGGGGGAGTGTCACGAGGATGGAGCCAGGCTCTACTCGGTGGCAAACAATGATAGGACAAGGGGTAGTGGGTACAAACTGGAACACAAGAGGTTCCACTTAAACTTGAGAAGTCGGTGAGCACCGCCCCACGCCGCCTGCAGCGGGGGGGTCGGGCACTGCGGGGTCCCGCCTGCAGGCGGTGTCGTGGGCAGACCCGGTCCCGGGCGCGACTCCGTTTCCGCCTCCGAACGTGCCTCGCTAGGTTCTTCTGCGCGGCGCCCCAGGGTGAGTGCGGGCCGTGGGCCCCCAGCTCGCCCCTCCAGCAGCGGAGAACGCGGCGGGAAGGGAGCTCAGGTGGAGTGAGTGCTCCGAATGCATGCTTATTATGTGACTGTCCTGACAGATGGCAAAAAAAAAATACAGCGAGCGCCGTGACCCTCCTGACTTCCCCTTCCCCCCGGGAGCAGTCTTCGGGGAGAAGCGTCTGCAGGGTGAGCGGGATGCGGCGAGGCCTTGTCTGCACCCCGGCATGATTAGCTTGCTTAGAGCCTGACCCTAGCCGCGGCGCTTGCAGTCTGCCTATGGAGCTAAGCCTGCGCGCTCGCCTGCTGACAGAGGGGTCGAAAGACTCTCCTGGGTTGAGAGCCTGAGCTTTTGTCGGGTAGTCCAGGCAGAACCCAAGCGCTCGTCTGCACGGTGCGGCTTGCTGAGGTTTGCTGACTCACAGTAACTGTAGTGGTATGGCAAACTTGATCTCCTTGATCTGGAGCAAAAGCATCCCCAGGAGCAATTCAGCTACAGCTCCCGGGCAGTGCTGTGTCACGCTCCAGAATCTCTTGGTCACGTGGCCCTGGCTTGAAGCATCCCTGCATGGAAGATACAAATTCAGTCTTGTGGGCCATGCCAGTGCTTGTCACCAGAGTCCTTGCGACTGCAGACAAAGGCTGCTGAAATGCTTGAGGGACCGGAATCCAGAAACAGGCACTAGGCATGCAGTCAGAGAGAGGGTAAAAGTCCTGTTGACTTTGGAGTGCTTAATGCAGCTCCAAATTACTAGAGCAAAGGTTTCAGGTGCAGTTTTATACCAACAGGGTAAGAGTAGCAACTTTGTAATACACCTGGCTTAATGCTCACTGTGGACTTTGCTGTGAAGATGAAACTTCATACTATAATTTAGCACTGTGAAGATAAAGTACCTGGTTCTTGCTGGCTGGCAGGTGTTTTCCACCAGCCTTGTAATCTGGAAGGAGAAACGTGACCATCAGCTTACTCTATTGAGTGGGAATGTGTTCTGTTTCCAGTGTGCCATCTGTCAGGTGCTAACCTCTATTACATGTGGGTTCAGCTGACTTTTCTTCGTTACTTTAGGATTTCAGTGTTCTTATTGATAATTGTGTATCAGACTTCATGTGGACAAAGCTAGCTGTTGTCTTCCTCTTGCTCTATTGATAATAATCCCTTTGCAAATGAGAAATAAAACCCTCTGATTCCTAAGATCCCTTGGAGGGGAGGGGGGCCAGTGCTGCTGCAGTAGGAAGGCTGTTTGCACCAGTTCCGTGAGGTGGCCCATTTTTCCCCACACTGACAGTTTGTGCTGTTGGGATAGCGCAGGAGACACCAAAACCTCATTATATCATGGAAGCATGATATAATGGATGAAGGTAGGCATCAGCTGGGCTTGGCTTGGAGAGGGAATCATCTACATGCTGGAGAGCCGTCTCTGCTGTTTTCTGCTGTGCTCATCATGCAGCACTATCTTGGGTCACACAGACAGACAAGATCTGAGGTTTGGGATTGTGCAAGAGGACCCATGGCAGATGGTTATAGGGAAGGATCCTTGTGCTCACTTGCAGCCAGGGAGGGTGGCAGGGCACTCGGTGTTGAGCAGCTCCCAGCAGTGCAGGCTGGACCAGCAGAATGGGCAGCAGGAAGGAGGGAGAAGCATACCACAAAGCCTTGCTGCAGGGCAGCGTGGCAGAGGCTGCTGGATGCACCCTGTGCTCTATGCTTCTGTCTAAGGCCTGCACAAGGAAGTGCAGAACCATTAAATGAAAACCACATGGGCCCTGCCATCTCCTGGCTGGCAGACTTGCTTGTGCAGATGTTGGTAAATAACAGCAGCTGCATGTTGTTGCAGGCTGTTCACTAACTTGTGACTTTGAGAGGGTCCCTTGAAGCCATGGGGCTGAGCATCACTCATCTGGCCGGTGCCTCTTTACCAGAAAGGTTTGGTGGATATTACTATTGTGGTGGGGTTTATTATTGTTTTATTGTTGACCTTAGCAGTACAAACTAACTATTCATGTAGCCCAGCACCTTTCACCTCAGGGGATTTCTGAGCCAGTGTGTGTTTGTATTATAATTCCCAACTTGCTTCTTATTCCCAGAGCTTGCCTGGTTTCTCCTTGAGTTTATGAAAACTGCCTGCATTGGTAGCATCCCTCAGCAGGGAGTTCCACAGGTCTGCTTTTCATTGCATGAAACAACACTTCTTTTGTTTTTTTTCAGGTCTATTTACTGACTTAATTTGGTAGTCTCTAGCCCTGGTGTTGAAGTGGTTGTGAACAATCAGTTCCCATCCACCCCTCCAGAATGTCTGGTTGGGCACAGCACAGTCAGTGTCAGTGAGTTGATAGGACTTAGCCAGCCGCAGCCAGAGCTGATGGAACCTACTGTTGGCCGTAGTCGTGCTTTGAGCCAGCGGCAGAACTCCATACACCAGCTCCCACCAACACTTATGCCATTTTAAGGCTTGACAGGAATTGCTCAGAGAGCCCTTGGTTTGTGCTGCTTAATAGCCAGCAGGCACCAAGAAAAAATTCCTCAACTCACTGTTTCTGTTTTCCTTCAGCCAGTCTCTGTGCTGGGAGGTCTTGGGTCCATATTCAGCAAGTCATCCACATACATACCTGCATGTATTGAGCTGACACTTCTCCAGTCACACCCTGAAATAGTAACAAGCTCTCTTTCTCTGACAGCACCAGCATGGCTGTTCTCTCCAAGGAGTATGGCTACGTCATCCTGACAGGGGCTGCCAGCTTCTTCTTGGTCATGCATCTTGCGGTGAAAGTGGCCAAGGCTCGCAAGAAGTACAATGTGGAGGTGAGTGCTCAGGCTGATGGAACAGGAAGGTTGGAGCCAGTCTGCAGGGGATATTGCAGACAAGCTAGGTGACCCCTTGCTTATTTTGGGTGATTTGCCAACATTTCCTGCCCCACCACATGGATATAGAAGGGGAGCTGCCATTCTGGCTTTCCAGACTGGAGCAGATGGCATGACAGAGCTTGGGGTTTGGGACATGAGGTGATTCCCACCAAGCCAATACAGCTGAAAGCACAAGGCTTTGAGCTTGGAATCACTAATGAACAAGAAACTGCACATCCCTTTTTCCCCTGCAAAGAAGGCTGATGCAGCATTTGGGCAAAGAGATAATAGTGGAAAAAAAGTGACTAGAGGGTTTCTCAAACTTGGGGTCATGTGAGCCCTATCATAAGAAGTCTTCCAAAGTGACCTTCCCTCAGCATCCATTGAGGAGCCTTTGAGCTTGGCAGGGCTGTGGGATAGGTGGGGGCAGCCAGTCCTGTCCATGAGTCAGGGTGATGGCATGCAGAGGCTTCTGTGCCACTTGGCTCCAGCACAAATGCTCCTTTATGGGAAGTCACAAGCAGCGGTGGGCACAACGTCAGTCCTGGGCATGTGCTGCAGGCCATGGTGCCTGTTGGGGTGACACCTCTCCTACTGCATGAAGTCAGGGTTACAACAAACGTGTCCTCCCAGGGCTGTTCCTGGGTGATGGGCTGTTGCCAGTTCAGAGATGTGGGGGCACATCTTTGGTAAGGGTGCTTTGTTCTCCTCTCCAGAGACGGGATTTAAACAGGGAGGTCACACAGTGCCTGGCTATCTTCTGTTCAAAGCAGGAGACGGTTATGTTGCTCGGGGAGCTCAAGAAGCAGCCTGGGGCAAGCAATTTCAACAAAGCATTTGCTGCATGCAGGGCAGAAGACAGGCTCTAACTTGCCAGTGCAAGTCAGTCCTGCAAGCAGTCAGGGAGCACTGAGCTTTCCAGGGAGAGGTGCAGCAGGGCTTGCTCCATTGCTAGAGAACAGGCTTCTGAGCCCA